GACAGTAAAATGTTTGTCATAAAATAATTCATGAATGCTTTATTTTTTAAATAACTTTTTACAGTTTTAGAAATGTGTTTGTGTACTAGTCATTCTTAACATGACTTGTTTTGGTGATTTTATTATACTAAGCTTTTTCCCCCAGAGTTAGATGCATGCTTCACTGTTAAAGTTATTATTAAATAACTAGGCCTATTATAACATTGCATTCAGTTAGAGAGCAAAGGAATGACAACATAACCGGTACATTATTGGTTTTATATTGCTATACCTTCTTCTCTTGAAACTCTCTGTTTTTTTTTTTTGTTTTTTTTTAGAAAATTCAGGAAATTTTCTATTCTTCTTTTTAGCGTTTTTAGGCTATAAAACATAGGCGGATGTGTTTTATCCTATTGGTGATTAAAAAATAAACGCTAAAAAGAAGACTATTTTGTGAGTGCGGATCGTGGTCTCATAGGCTACTATGAAAAATAATGTGTAATAAACACAATACTACGCATCCCGCACCGTGGTTGAATCTGCCGGTGGGGGCGGGGCCACAAATCCATGACTTTACAAACCCGAGGGAACGGATTGCGGAAGCGTGCGCACGGATTATGAATTTGTGGGTACGGATTCAAAATCCGAAGGTACGGTTTACAAAATCTGAGCGCACGGATTGGAAATTCGTGGGTACGGTTTATTAATCCGTGGGCACGATTTGTTAAACCGAGGGAACAGTTTAAGAATTCGTGAGTACGGTTTATAAATTGAGGGGACGGATTGCAAAACCGTCGCCACGGATTGGTTTTTTTCTCCTACAGGTGACTTCCCGGGCTCCGTACTACGTACTGCGATCAGGTGCTGAGTTTGAGCTTTAATCGGTGGTTTTGTATCAATAAAGCAGTGAAACGTGGGAAGCAGCAGTGACCGGAGATGGAGGACAGACAGATGTGTCGTGTGCTTCAAACTGACCAAAACAACATCTGAATAAAAACCTCCGCAACTCCCTCAGCGATGTTTCTTTCATTAAAGACATTGTCAAAGTGCTTGTTAAAAACACGGACGACACATTCAAATATTTACCACTGTTAATACACAAAATTAGATGAAAGATACACGCAACCTTGTCCGTTACCGTGCACACGCCGTGGATTTGATCTGACGGTGTTAAAATAAATGTTCACTTGTAGCAATCTTTAGACTGTAAATAATGTTTAGTGCCTTTACTCTTTGTATACGTTGTTTTTACTCCACTAAACTATTGTACACCTCCAATTTCATTCAAAATATGAAAGGAGAAAGCACAAGCACCGGTCGCTCGCGGAGGAACACAGACGCTGAACAGAGCGAGTTGAGTCTACACGGTTCTCATGCGGTGGTTAAATGCGCAGCGCCGCCCAGCAGCGGCTCATTGTTGATCATCAGTCAGTTTGTGTTTGAGTCCAGATCCGATCAGAGAGATCATGGCAGAAACCGCTCCAGCAGCTGCCGCGACCAAAGCGGCCAAGAAGAAAGCAGCGGCTAAACGCAAGACAACGGGCCCAAGCGTCAGCGAGCTCATCGTTAAGGCTGTGTCCGCATCTAAGGAGAGGAGCGGTGTGTCCCTCGCCGCCCTGAAGAAAGCGCTCGCTGCCGGTGGCTACGATGTGGAGAAGAACAACTCCCGCATCAAGATCGCCGTCAAGAGTCTGGTGACTAAAGGCACCCTGGTCCAGACCAAAGGAACCGGCGCCTCCGGCTCGTTCAAACTCAACAAGAAACAAGCCGAGACCAAGACAAAACCCGCGAAGAAAATCGCTCCTAAAGCCAGGAAGCCCGCAGCCAAGAAACCTGCCGCCACTAAGAAGCCCAAGACCGCAGCAGCGAAGAAGCCTGCCGCTAAGAAATCTCTGAAGAAAGCCAAGAAACCCGCTGCTAAAAAGGCAACGAAGAGCCCCAGAAAAAGCAAATAAACCAGCGACTCCTAAGAAAGCACCAAAGAGCCCTAAAAAGATCAAGGCAGCCAAACCCAAGACGACGAAACCCAAAGCCGCCAAACCTAAAAAGACAACAGCCAAAAATAAATAAAATCGCAATCATCTGTGGTTTATCAAAACGGTTCTTTTAAGATCCACCTACTAATTCATTGTAAAGAGCATTATTATTATTATTATTTATTTATTTTTTATATATGTTCAGTGAGGCAAAAATAATGGGCTTTCATGTTCGAGTACAAATACTTGTGTACGTTAATATTGCTATGAGTGAATATTTTATGGATTGAATCTAAAGTACGTGTATGTTTACATGTTTATACAAGTACATTATGAAACTTCATACTTTGTCATCATTATTACTATTAGAAGTAGTAGTATGCTTAAAATCAGATAATAAAATACAGAATAGGCAAGGCAAGTTTATATAGCAGTTGTATAGCACCCTGGTCCAGACCAAAGGAACCGGCGCCTTCAGCTCATTCAAGCTCAACAAGAAACAAGCTGAGACCAAGACAAAACCCGCCAAGAAAGCCGCTCCTAAAGCCAAGAAGCCCGCGGCCAAGAAACCTGCTGCTGCTAAGAAGCCCAAGACCGCAGCAGCGAAGAAGCCCGCCGCTAAGAAATCTCCGAAGAAGGCCAAGAAACCCGCTGCTAAAAAGTCAACTAAGAGCCCCAAAAAAGCAAAGAAACCAGCGACTCCTAAGAAGGCAGCCAAGAGCCCTAAAAAGACCAAGGCAGCCAAACCCAAGACGGTGAAACCCAAAGCCGCGAAGCCTAAAAAGACAGCAGCCAAGAAGAAATAAACTCAAGTCATTAAAAAAAAAAGTTTTATCAAAACGGCTCTTTTAAGAGCCACCCACTAATTCAAAGTGAGAGCATTGTTTCTGTTTAAAGTAATGTTGTATTTTGACGTTATTGATACCTGAATGTGAATATTCTGCTACAAGTGAGACATTTAACTTGAATCATTATTATGCTTAAAACCAATTAAATAAATACTAGGCGATGGAGGTTTATGTAACACATTTAATACACAAAGGTAATTGAAAGTGTTCTACATAAAGTCATAAAAATTTACATGAGTAAAAATAAGACAGGAATAAATGGAAAAAGAAATACAGGTACACAAAGAAGCTCGTAAACATGGTTAACATTGTGCTTGAGGGTCAGTAGCAGAAAGAGGGTGGGGTTTGTAGTTCGGAGGGAAGTTCACTGATTGGCTTGGAACGTATTCAGACTCCAGCCAATAGGAGACTGGCACGCTTTCTTTTAAAAGTAACGTCGCAGCTTTCCGTATCATTCATTCTTTGAGCTGCGTTGTAACAGTTGTTATCACAATGAGTGGAAGAGGCAAAACCGGAGGAAAGGCTCGTGCTAAAGCCAAGACTCGCTCCTCCAGAGCTGGACTGCAGTTCCCCGTCGGTCGTGTTCACCGGCTTCTCCGTAAAGGCAACTACGCCGAGCGCGTCGGTGCCGGTGCACCGGTTTATCTGGCCGCTGTGCTCGAGTACCTCACTGCTGAAATTCTGGAGTTGGCTGGAAACGCAGCTCGGGACAACAAGAAGTCCCGTATCATCCCCCGTCACCTGCAGCTGGCGGTGCGCAACGACGAGGAGCTGAACAAGCTTTTTGGTGGCGTGACCATCGCTCAGGGCGGCGTGCTGCCCAACATTCAGGCCGTGCTGCTGCCCAAGAAAACCGAGAAACCAGCCAAGACCAAGTAAACTGAGAAGTTTCTCTTCAAACCAAAGGCTCTTTTAAGAGCCACACATTTTCTCTGTAAAAGAGTGATTTCTTTCATCCAGTCTTTGAGTTGGTTTTTTAAATACACTTTTGAGTGATTCTGAGAAGGTACTATTGATGAATAATGATAAAAATAAAATTGACTTTAAACATTCATGTTCAAAATTATTCAACCTCCAAAAGTCAAATTTTGTGCAGAATCTTTTATTCTTTAAAGTCCCCATGAAATCAAAATGAATTTTTTTTTTTTTTTTAGTATCAATATGTTAGTCTTAAAGTCCACATGAAATCAAAATTGACTTTATTTACTTTACTAGCGCATCGTACTTCATCTTCTCATCAAATCTTCTGACCAATCAAATGCTCTCTAGAAGCCGAAGTGCCCGCCCCCTGCACTGTAAATAGACGCTGCGGCTGAGATCGGTCGCTTGTTCACAGTGTAG